GGAGACCAATGCTAGACTCGATCCCAGGGCTCTGAGATCATAATCTGGGCTGAAGGAAGATGCTTAACCATTTGAACCACCCAGGCACCCTACAATGGTTTTAATTCTCCTATAGGCTAAGGATGTCTAATCAGTTCTTTCCCATAACCGAATTTTCCTTTGCAAACTATGCCAGCTAATCTTTACTCACCTAGATGTCTATGCCTGTAATTTCCATTATCCCAGATTTCTCCTGTCTGAAATCCTGCTATTTAAATCTCTTCAATAAGACTCGAATTCACCCCTTCATCTCCATCTTACATGCTACACTCTAAATTGAGACATTCTCCTTTTGCCAGGACAAATGTATGAGACTGATTGGTTATGGTCCTAATCTCTTCAATCCATTCTATCATCAGAGTTATCAAAGTGATCAAAACTTTTATTTTATTTTTTATTAAATTTTTTGAGAGAGAGCACAAGTGGGGGGGGGTAGGGGGCAGAAGGAGGGAGAGTAGGAATCTTAAGCAGGCTCCACGCTCAGTGTGGAGCCTAACTTGGGGCTCGATCTCAGGACCCTGAGATCATGACTTGGGCTGAAATCAAGAGTTCCTTGCTCAACCAACTGAGCCAACCAGGCACCCCAGAGTGATCATTCTAAAGCACACAACTGATCATCTGTCTCCACTATTCTTTTTTTTTTTTTTTTTAAAGGGCTTTTTTTTTTTAAAATTTTTTTTTTATTTTTTTATTTTTATTTATGATAGTCACAGAGAGAGAGAGAGAGGCAGAGACACAGGCAGAGGAAGAAGCAGGCTCCATGCACCGGGAGCCCGATGTGGGATTCGAACCCGGGTCTCCAGGATCGCGCCCTGGGCCAAAGGCAGGCGCCAAACTGCTGCGCCACCCAGGGATCCCTGTCTCCACTATTCATTGTTTCTGTTTCTGTTGTGATGTCATGAAGGTTCAAACAGTAAGACATGCATGTCTGCCAGGGCTAATTTATTTACCACTCATCTAAACTACACCTCTCCCCTGCCCTTTTCCATTGAGGGAGGAAGTAGCTCACTAAAGCGGGTGCTGAAACGAAAAAGGAAACCCAGGGAGGGTGACTCAGCTCATGGGCAATGCATAGAGACAATCTAAGCCTAACAATCCATTGGATTTCTCTCAGCAAAGTGGTCTTAACTTAGAGCTATTTATAGTTTCTTCTCTTCCTCAGGTTCTGCTATGGATCTTCTAGAGGTGCTACAGTTTTCCAGGTGCTACCCACAGAACCTATTCTGTTTTTTTAGCCTGTCTTCCTTTGTCTACCCCTGCTTAACCTATTTTTTTTTTTTGTTGTTGTTGTTCCTTGGTATGGATTGGACACTTGAAATACATCTCCTTGCTCTGCATCCTAAGCAGTCTTATACCCAGGCCCTAGCCTAGGCCAATCCCCTAGACCTTCACTAACCTAACCAATCAAAAACACAGGCTATGTGGGATATACAGTATACAGGCTTTGTAAGACAGTGAGACAAAATGAGCATTTTTCCTACCTATAGGCAGGTATACCTATATTCCCAGCATTCTTCTGCTGAAATAAAGCTATATAAACAAACAAACAAACAAACAAACAAATCTGATACCTAATAGTTTTTGCTATGGTTGGGATGTTGGTAGAGGTGATGGTGGTGATGAGCCATGCAAGGCAGGAGACCTAAGAGGAAGTCTTTGGGGAATCCTGGTTTATCTCCATAATATAAAGAATATAAAAAGATGTACAGAAGGAAAATACCCCCCTTTCTGGCAGGACACAGTGGTATTCACATGTGATAACTGGAACTGCTGTTGCAGTCACCTTGTAACCACGAGGGGAGAAATACTGACGTGATGAAAACAGCTTCAGAGAGAAATGGAAAGGACTTGGGTTTTTGATGATGTTATTGAGCCAATCTGGAGCCATCTTGTTTTTGGATGGCTTCATGTGTAGGAGGACACATTTACTGTTGAAGCCACCTAAATGGAGATTCAGGCTTATTATAATATGTTAGACCCCTGAAAGCCTGCCTACACTAGTAACTCCCTTTCTTTACTTAATATGTATACTTGTTCTAATCTTGTAAGGGTAAAAAACAAAACCCAACTGGGACTGTGTTCAAATAATGTAGAAAGTAGGAATCAACAAATGGTAGGTAAGGGCAAGGGTACCTTCTATGTGTAGGGACATGGCAGCCTTTACTTTGTACTTCTTCCCTATCCTTAGCTAGGGAAGCTAGCTTCCCTGTCCCTATCTAGAATCTAGATAACAGAAACCACATACCAGACAAGTGAGCTACATTTTCCTTATAGACTTCCCTGGTATGTCCTAGAATTAAGGTCAACTGTCAAAGTAAAGTTACCAGTTTATCTCAGAAATTGGTTAGTGTTTACCCACTTATAGGTAAACTATGTAAATGGGGCTTAGCTCCTGGATGAACAGAATCTGAAAATTATGATATAACTAGATACAGCTTAGGGTAAAGATATAACTTCTCTAGTACTCCTGTCCTGTAAAAATAGGAGAGCAAATTTTGTTTTGTATAAGTGAATTGAAAACATCAGGAAAATTACTACTTTGGTCTTTTATATATTTTGAGGGTGATTTTTTCTTTCTTCTTTAAGACCTGTGCTTAAAGAAACTTGTGTCTTTATTATGTTGTAAGTTGTATTATCCCCTTCTTGCACATTACCCAGTAACAGAAGAGGAAAATATCCAAAAAAGGAAGCAAGCACAGTCTAATTTATAATAAATCCCATAAGCCATGATTGCTGGTAAGGAACAGATGTTTAAGTTCAAAAGGACTAATACAAACTTTAGTTGTTGTTATATAGACCTCTGATTTTTTTTTTTAATTGAAGAGACAGGTCAATAACAATGCACTAAAATCTATTTATATATGTCAGAAAAAGAGAAAAGGCATGTGGTATGGTATTTGAAAGTTTTCCTATTGTAAAAATTTCCAAACAAATGGAAAAGTTAAAAGAATAGTATAATGAACACTCATGTACTTTTCACCAAGGTTCAAATTGTTAATATTTTGCTAGGCTTAATCTATATAGGTATGCATTTTTTTCTCAATCATTTTAAAGTAAACTGTAGACATCATGATCAGTCATATTATATTTAGCCTTGGTTTTCAACATCTGTTTTTAAAGTATTTTTTCATTTATGTTTTTAAAAATTCATAAAAAGATTTAAAAAGAGAATAATTATGTTCATGTAATTAGAAAACAAGATTCACAATATAAGAGCAAAGAGATTCGATGTAAAAATCAAAAGCATTAAAAAACCCCTGAAATATTAACTCTACATTGTAATCATTCTTTTCTTATTCCTGATTTCTTTTTCCTTAAACAAACAAACAAACAAAAAACATATATACTAACTTTGTCCACTCTGAAGGTCAAGTAAAAACATGGAATAGTAAGACTATAGCAATAAATACTCCTAGTAACCCTGGTTATGGTCTCTGAACATCACATTCTACCAAGAGAAACCAAAGCTCCTTGGAGGGACAGCTGATGCCAGGGCTGGAGCAGGAAAGCATACAGGAGGTGCTGGGAAATCTTGTTGTCCTTGACAGCAAGCAAATCCTACAAGACTAAAGAGGTCATCCCAAAAGGACATAGGAGACAATGAAGAGGCTCAATAGCCAAAGACAAGACAATTGGAAAATCAAAGAACATGAACCAAATGGTAACCATCAATACATAAAAACACAGGTACCCAACAAAATAAAAAAGTGCCACCCCCCATCCAAGCCATGAACAAGGGATTACCAGTGGAGATATATAGGGCATCGATTCCTTGTTCTGAAAATGGCAATTAAAGAATTAAACATTTATTCTGTCTTTTCAGATCAAATTATATACTAGGGTAATGAAATAGCCCCAGTTGATAAAGTTTTGCTTTGCAGAAGAATTACAGATAACACATTTAGAATGCAGGAGACTTTTAGAAACTCAGCATTTGGCTATTTCTAGTTAACCAATGATGCAGGCAATCATGAAAGCATTACATGAAAGGTGGGTGTGGGTCTTTAAAATGAAAGGAGCAGCAGTTGCCCTGTGAATTCATTGATCAATGATAGAACCACTATAAGCAGGATGATCAGATAGCATGTGGTCCCCTGAAATGATGCAATATGAAGGACACAGTATAGTTTATGCAGTATTCTTGCCCTTCACAGTTACAGTTAGGTTCTAGTTTGCAAGGAATATGGACAATATTAGAACAACTTAATACCATGAGGAAGCAGGCAGACAACTCCAGAATGCATGACAGTCTATATGACAGCTAAGTTTTTTCTTCAACCAAAGACAAGGTGGGGGAGGGAGGAAGGGACAATGAAATGCAGAGTATCAACCAACTATACTGTGTGGACTCGTTTGGATCCTGATTTGAAGAAACCAATTGTAAAAAGACTTGGAGCTACTTGGAGAAATGTCAGTATGGACTGGGTATTGCAGAACACCAACGTCAATTAAGTAATTGTTAATTAATTATTTATTTTGTTGGATCTGATGATAATGGCACTGTGACCACAGGAAAGAATGTTTATCTTCTTGAGAGATGCACATCTATGTAAGAGTGAAACAACCTGATGGCTAGGTTTTCTTTAGAAATGCTTCAAACACACAAAAGATGTGAAGTGGGGGTAGATGAAGCAAGTATAACAAAGGCTTGATAATTACCGGGCTTAGGTAATAGGTATATAGGGGTTCATGACATGTTTTTTAATATTGTCGTGTATTTTTGAAATTTTTGTAACGATTTTTTTAAATTAAAGGGAAGTAGTTATCTTCAGAGAATCTGAACAGAAGTTGAAAACATTTATTTGCATTACACTGTCATTTAAAAACAAATGTGAAACTATTTTAAGTAGACTTCTCAAATAAGATGTTCTTACCCACACACAGTGTTTTTTTTTGTGTCTTGAGTGTACCATTACATATCTATTGCCAATGAATTTCTACATTTTTAAAGGATGAATTACCTGTTGTCAATAATCATTATACTGGAGGGTGGAATCCCCAAAACATCACAGCTCTGCAAAAGTTCTTTCTTACGAATCTCCCCTTGATTGTAGAAATTTCCTGAAGATAACAAATATACAGTGGTAGATTTCTTTGATAGTGGAAATCTACAAGTTTACTCATTCTTACCTCATCCTGTTCCCTAAAGGACATAAGCCACCTGAAAAATCTGTGTTTATGACAAAAAGCTAAAAAAAATACTACTCACTCCTGTGAGAAGGCTGACAGTAGCCCAAGTCTTTAGAATCATCACCTTTTCATCCCTCCCCATCTCTCTATCTATCTGTCCCTCTCTGTCTGTCTGTCTGCCTACCTGTATTTCGGTTGCATGCTACAGGCAGTATTGCACATTGCTGAGACCACTGGCTTTGGAGTTAAGCAGATTTAGGATTGCCTCTTCTATAACTACCCAGAATATGTCAGGTACCTGAGCATGCTATTAGTTTGGGCAGATTTAAATTGATAGTCCTCAAATATCTGTTGAACATTTATTTAAAGAAGAGGCTCCCAAGTTGCCTGAGTGGCTCGGTCAGTTGAGCATCTGCCTTTGGCTCAGGTCATGATTCTGGGGTCCTAGGACCAAGCCCCACATTGGGCTCCCTGTTTGGTGGGGAGTCTGTTTCTCCTTCTCCCTCTGCAGCTCCCCCTGATTGTGCTCTCTCTCAAATAAATAAATAAAATCTTAAAAAAAAAAAAAAGAGGCTCTGATTCTTAAGTATTTATTACCAGAAAACGTGTCCCTAGGGGATCTTGACCACATCAGTGCCCCAAATAGCTTACATACTCTTTATTTTCCCAACACATATATTCTAATTCTTTTTTTTTAAAGATTTTATTTATTCATGAGAGACCCACAGAGAGAGGCAGAGACACAGGCAGAGGGAGAAGCAGGTTTGTCACAAGGAGCCTGATGTGGGACTTGATCCTGCGACCAGGATCATGCCCTGAGCCAAAGGTAGACACTCAACCACTGAGCCACTCAGGTGTCCCCATATATTCTAGTTCTGAAGAACGGTTCTGGTAAGTACAGTTTCCCTGTATCCTTACAAATAATATACAGTGTAATTTTAGTACCACTTAAACTGCACTTATGAGCTATTGTCTAGCTAATGCACCCCTTAATTCAACTCCCCAGCAGATAATTGCATGTGTAATGTGTGCTAGTTACTTAACTTTCCTGAGCCACAGTTCCTCCACCTGTAGAGACCATGGCTATCTCCAATCTCCTGCAGGGGGAGCTCCAGAGGGAGAAGGAGCAACAGTTCCTCCACCTGTAGAGACGATGGCTATCTCCTCTTTCCTGAGGATTACATGAGACAATGCATATCCACCCAGTTCAGTACTCTGTGTTTTCTCTTTCCTCGATTTCTTTACTTCCTGAATTACCACCCATTTTCACTGTCCTGACCAAACGGCATTCCCTCTGGGAAGTCTTCTATTTTTTCCCCCCTGCAAGGAATCATTTCCAGTATTCTGCTCGGAAGTTATGAACTTTTCTCCATGATCAGATTATTAATTCCTAAATGTCATTGACCTTAAAAGTAACAAGTCTTGTTCAACTTTGTATCATCCTGGTGTTCAGCACACTGCAGACACTCATGAAGTATTGAACAAAGAGAGGCTTCATTTAAAGATTTTTAAAAAACGTATTCATGAGAGACAGAGAGAGGGAGGCAGCGACACAGGCAGAGGGAAAAACAGGCTCTCTGCAGGGAGCTCAGAGAGGCTTGGTTTATGGCCAAACAATTCAGAGGAAAACTCCCACATCTGACCTTTCAACTTTGGCAGGAGTTACTCTAATGCTTGTTTTCAACTGTTTGAACCCAGAGAGGAGATAGTCATTACGTTGTATCCAGCAAAGGGACAAATCCTAAAGAGACTCCAGATAATAGCTCAGTTTTGTATATCCTTATCACAATATTTTAGTTACTTTTTAAAAAGTCAGACAGACATGGAATGCCTGGGTGCCTCAGTGGTTGAGTATCTGCCTTTGGCTCAGGTCATGATCCTGGGGTCTTGGGATTGAGTCCTGCATCAGGCTCCCCACAGGGAGCCTGCTTCTCCCTCTATGTCTCTGCCTCTCTCTGTGTCTTTCATGAATAAATAAATAAAATCTTAAAAAAGTCAGATAGATGCTATAGTCAATCTTATGATGGTTATTATATCTTAGGTTTCCCTCAAATCCATAAACATATCTTTTCCTATTTCATCTCAAGGTTACTTATCTTTGGTGATAAAGAGTCTAATGAACACCAGTAGGTGATTCCAAAGTCCAGAGGCTGTGCATATCAGACTCTGATTATGATTCTGAGAAACTGCCTAGAATGGAGGCTAATGAGTTTATGGAGCTGGTTGTATTGGTTTGTGTTTGAATTGAGGAACTTAAAATAGGTTAGGGAATTGAGGTCAGAGATTATTTAGAAAATTTACCCTATGTTTAGTGAACATGTAGGCACTTCAACAGAGTTAAGTGTGAGATCCTTCAGCAGCTCCTAATGACACACTCTAGAACCATGTCCAACTAGGGTAGGTTGTACCCTGAGTTGCACAAGATTATCTATTTGGGGTGAGGAAAAGCTTTAGAACTTTTCCTCTTAATTTGCATACCTTGTCCTTTACACTTTTATTAATATTTTTATTAATATTCATGTTAGTTCAGTGGCCCACATATTTAATATAATTATAAATAAATACACATATAATGGGAGTATATGGACAAAAGTTTTTACCAACAGGAAGGGTGGGTGGTTCAGCTGGTTAAGTGTCTGATTCTTGATTTTGGCTCAGATTGTGATCTAAGGGTCATGAGATTGAGCCCTGCCACGGGCTCTGTGGTGGATGTAAAGCCTGCTTGAGAATCTCTCTCCCTATCTCTCTCTCAAAAAAAAAAAAAAAAAAATAGTTTTTCAATAGGAAAATGTGATCCAAAAAAGTTTGGAGATCATTATTCTAGAAAACAAAATAAATAGGATGAATGTCGATTTATTTATATTGAACTATCTTTTGTGTGTGTGTGTGTGTGTATACAGAGATGTGTGATAAGCTTATGGATCATTAATTGTATGCTTAGTGAAGTCTTCTGTCTTGTGATAACTAATACTTCTCAATAATTACTAGCAATCATAATGACATTTAATGGAAACTAAGGTCACTTTGTAAAGACCACACTTATGCACCACATGTATAAAGGTAAACATTTTATTTTGCTTAAAATTTTTAAAATTTATTTATTCTAAGTAGGTAAAATATTTACTTGGTTAAACATCAAAAGGAACAAAGTTACATATATTCATATTTACATATGTATATTTATATGTATATATAGCTCCCTCCCACTCCCTTAGTTACCCTACCTTTTAAGTTTCATTTTATTTTTTTTTTAAAGATTTTTTTACTTATTTATTTGACAGAGAGAAAGAAAGAGAATGTACAAGGAGAGGAGCAGCAGGCAGAGGGAGAAGCAGATTCTCTGCTGGGCAGGACCCTGGGATCATGACCTTCGACAAAGGTAGACACTTAACTGACTGAGCCACCCAAGTACCCCTACCTTTTAAGTTTTAGTTTTTTAAAAAAATTTTTTTGAAAAAATATTTTATCTATTTATATGAGAGACACAGAGAGAGAGAGCGAGAGCGAGAGAGAGAGAGAGAGAGAGAGAGAGGCAGAGACATAGGCAGAGGGAGAAGCAGGCTCCATGCAGGCTCCATGTGGGACTTGATCCCAGGACTCCAGGATCATATCCTGGGCTGAAGGCAGGCGCTAAGCCACTGAGCCACCCAGGCATCCCTAAGTTTTAATTTGTTAAAACCAGAAATGGATTGAAAATCAAAGCATCATGGGCACAATACTTTCTATTAACATCATGAAAATTGAAGAGATTCCTTAAGTTCCTGGGTTTCAAGAATGCTAGCAAGGTTTTTCCTTGAATGTGACTAAGCAAATTCTAAAATGTATTTGAAAGAAAAAAGACCACCACAGGTCTACAGTTGCTCAAATCTAAAATGAAGGAGTTTAGGTTCTGGATCAATTAAAGTCTATCCAGGCTGACATGTCAGCAGGCTGACATGACATACCCAGTCATGTCAAATATTTATATCAGTAAGAATTTAATGGAAATTATTTAATATATAACTGATGGAAGATCTGAGTACCAAACAGGGACCAGTGAAGTAGCCCTGAGATTAGTGACAGCAAGAAGTAACTACCAACCCTAGAATGGACAGATAAAAGGAGTAGGCATTGTTACTAGAACCCAAAGGCCTGGGTTTCCCAAAGGAAGCTAAAACCAAAAGAACTAGACTCTTTTCCATTAGAACGCGTCCACAGCACCCAGTTGGAGAAATAATGGTTTAAAAATAAAAACTAGAATTAAAAAATGGTTAAATTACTTGAACAGACATTTCTCCAAAGACAGATGGGCAATAAGCATCTGAAAAGATGCTCGAGGGACGCCTGGGTGGCTCAGCGGTTGAGTGCCTGCCTTTGGCCCAGGCGTGATCCTGGAGTCCTGGGATCAAGTTCCACATGGGGCTCCCTGCATGGAGCCTGCTTCTCTCTCTCTGCCTGTGTCTGACCCTCTCTGTCTCTATGAATAAATAAAATCTTTAAAGAAAAAAAAGAAAAGATGTTCCATATCATTAGTCACTAGGGAAATCAAGGCAAAACCACAATGAGGTATCATTTCATACCCATTAGGATGGCAGTGGCAAAAAAAAAAAAAAAAAGAAAGAAAAAACAAAAACAAAAGCAGGGGCCCCTGGCTGGCTTTGGTGGTGGAGCATGTGACTCTTGATCTTAGGGTTGGGAGTTTGAGCCCCACACTAGATGTACAGATTACTTAAAAATAATATCTCAAAACAAAACAAAACAGAACACCATCACCAGGACATGGGCTGAGGCAATATTTTTAAAAAAATGAAAAATTACAAGTGTAGGTGGGGATGTGGGGAAATTAGAACACTTGTGCATTGCTGGTAGGAACATAAAATGGTATAGCTGCTATGGAAAATCATTTGCTGATTCCTCAAAAAAATTTTTTTTTAAAATATTTTATTTATTTA